GGGTGTCTGTGGGCCCCTGCTCCATAGCTTTAACCCTATCCCCTCCCATGCCTATCTGAGCAGCCTAGGACGCAGTCGGGCCGAAGGCTGGAGCAAGCACCCATAGGGAACCAGCCAAGACGGCCTTGGAATTCTGGCTCTGCCTCTTATTAACCTTGAGCTCTTGGGCCACTCACTTTCACCTCTGAGCCTCAGTTTCCTCGTCTACAAAATGGGAGCAAAGGGATCTGTAAACCGTGGATCCCACCTGTCCTCAGCAGCAGAAACGTTTCTCTCTTAAAAGTCAGGAAGAGAATGAAATTCCAGATGTCCCTCTGTCCCCCTGGGCAGGAGCTTTCTCCTATGTGGGCCTCAGGTTCCCCCTTGTAAAACAGGCTGTCTGGTTTCAAGGACTCTTCTCCAACTCTGGCATATTATCAGATGCGGAGCCTTCAGAGTCCATTCAATCCTGACCCCAGCCTGGACTTGGTCCCCTGCCCCATCGTTATAATACTATCGTCCTTGTTCTGTAGACCACCCTGGATGCACATTAGACTCACTTAGGGAGATTTACAAAAATCCCAGTGTCGATCCCCAGAGATTCTGATTGAACTATTTTGGGGTGGGGCCAGGGCCAAGTTTTTAAAATCTCCCCAGGCGATCCTAATGTACAGACAGCGCTGAGAAGCAGCACTTCCGGCTGTCTAGTACCTTGGACGCATGCCACTTCAGGGTAGAGATTGGGAGCCTAGCCCCTGGTCCTGGCTCTTCCCAACAGTGACCACGGGCAAGTTACTTACCTTCTTTGTGCCTCAGTTATCTCAGATTTAGAAGGGGTGAGAGGGTTAAATGAGATAATGCATGCAAAGCACTCAAGTCTTTAGAGCAATTCTGGGCACAGAGACAGTGTTCACCAAATCTGTCTTTAGCTTTGATTTTCACTTTGTAGTTGACTATGTACCTGGCATTGGGCTCCTCAGCAAAACTCTGTGAGGTAAGAAGGTTAATGAAGCAGACACTACACATGAGTAGACTGAGGTTCAGAAAGGGGAAGTTACTGGTCAAGGTCTTGTAGCTAGAAGGATCCTTTATTTATTTATTTTTATTTTTATTTATTTATTTTTTATGTATGTTTTTATTGATTTTAGAGAGAAAGGAAGGGAGAGGGAGCGAAAAACATCAATGATGAGGGAGAAATATCGATTGGCTGCCTCCTGCAAGCCTCCTACTGGGGATTGAGCCCACAATCTGGGCATGTGCCCTGACTGGGAATTGAACTGGTGACCTCTTGGTGCATGGGTCGATGCTCAACCATTGAGCCACACCGAAAGGATCCTTTTTTAAAAAAAATTATTTAAAATATTTATTTCTTGATTTTATTTTTTTGAGTTTTTTCTCTTTGTTCCTTAGTGAGTCTACCTTTTTTATTATTAAAAATTTTGGAGGCGCCTGAGCTACTGAGGGTCTAAGTCCAGGCAGGCAAAGAGTGTGGTTAGCAAGATGAACAAAGATGCGCATATGAGAGCAACGATTAACCAAAAGTTGATAGAAACTGGAGAAAGAGAACGCCTCAAAGAATTGCTGAGAGCTAAATTAATTGAATGTGGCTGGAAGGATCAATTGAAGGCACACTGTAAAGAGGCAATTAAAGAAAAAGGACTAGAACACGCTACTGTTAATGTCTTGGTGGCTGAAATCACACCAAAAGGCAGAGCCCTAGTACCTGACAATGTAGAGAAGGAGCTTCTACAAAGAATAACATTCCTTGCTCAGCATGCCAGCCTTTAATATTGAATTAGATCGTGTTGTTTTGTGGTCTTATTTCTGAAAGTAAAACTTGCCATAAATTAGGAATCACTTTGCCAAGTAAAATCCTTTTTTGTACAATGGTATACAGTTTCAGTAATGATGTATACATTGTATTGATTTTTTTCCCCTAAATGTTATTTTAATAAATATCTCATGAATGAGAAAAAAAAAATTTTAATGTTGAC